CTAAATTTATTTACCAAGTAACTCTCTCCTTTTTCTCTCCTTTTCTTTTCTCTCCTTTTTTTTCCCTCCTTTTTTGTCTCCTTTTCTTGTTTTTTTTTGTCTCCTTTTTATTTATCTCCTTTTTTTGTCTCTTTTTTTTTGTCTCCTTTTTATTTGTCTCCTTTTTTTGTCTTTTTTTTCTCTCCTTTTTTTTGTCTCCTTTTTTTGTCTCCTTTTTTCTGTCTCCTTTTTATGTGTCTCTTTTATTGTCTCCTTTTTTTTGTTTCCTTTTTCCCTACTTTTTATTGTCTCCTTTATTGTCTCCTTTATTGTCTCCTTTATTGTCTCCCTTTTTTTGTCTCCTTTTTTGTCTCCTTTTTTGTCTCCTTTTTTGTCTCCTTTTTTGTCTCCTTTTTTATTTATCTCCTTTTTATTTAATTAATTTTCTTCTTTTTTTTTGTCTCCTTTATTAATTGTCTCCTTTTTTTTGTCTTTTTTTTTGTCTTCTCTTTTTTGTCTCCTTTCTTTTTGTCTCTTTTTTTTGTTTCTTTTTTTTTGTCTCTTTTTTATATGTCTCCCTTTTTGTCTCCTTTTATTTATCTCCTTTTTTTGTCTCCTTTTTTTGTCTCTTTTTTTTGTCTCCTTTTTTTGTCTCCTTTTTTTGTCTCTTTTGCTTTTTGTCTCCTTTTTATTTGTCTCCTTTTTTTTCTTTTTTTTTGTCCCTTTTTTTTGTCTCCTTTTTATTTGTCTCCTTTTTTTGTCTCCTTTTTTATTTATCTCCTTTTTTTTGTCTCTTTTTTTTTTGTCTCCTTTTTTTGTCTCTTTTTTTATTTATCTCCTTTTTTTGTCTCCTTTTTTATTTGTCTCTTTTTTATTTATCTCCTTTTTTTGTCTCTTTTTTTTTTCTTTTTTTTTTTGTGTCTTTTTTCTTTTGTGTGTCTTTGTGTATAGGAGAATATAATAGAGGTACCTGTAGAGAAGATAGTAGAGAAGATAATAGAGGTACCTGAGCATATGTTGCTGCCTCCTGAGCAGCAGCAGCAGCTACTACAGCAGCAGCAGCAGCAGCAGCAGCAGCAGCAGCAGCAGCAGGAGTTGCTGCTGCTGCAGCAAGAAGAAATAATACCTATACCTAAAATACATATTATAGAGAAAATTATACACAAAATAAAAAATATAAATATACATAAAATTGTAGATGTACCTAAGATACATATTAGGCATGTAAGTATTATTTCTTGCTGCTGCTGCTGCTGCTGCTGTTGCTGTTGCTGCTGCTGCTGCTGCTGCTGCTGCTGCTGTTTTTTTTTTCTTAAAAAAATTAAAAAAAAATAAATATGCATAAAGTTATAGATATACCTAACATACATGCTAGGCATGTGTGTTATTATTATTTGCTGCTGCTGCTGTTGCTGCTGTTGCTGCTGCTGCTGCTGCTGTTGCTGTTTGTTGCTGTTGCTGTTGCTGTTGTTGTTTGTTGCTTTTGTTGTTTGTTGTTGCTGCTGCTGTTGCTGCTGCTGACGTTAAACTGCCTGTATATGCTCTCCTATCTATTCATCTCTATTTGCTGCTGCTGCTGCTGTTGCTGCTGCTGCTGCTGCTGCTGCTGCTGCTGCTGCTGTTTGTAGGTGCCTGTGGATAAGATAGTGGAGGTGCCTGAGCTCCATATAAAGTATGTAGATGTTCCTCCTGCTGCTGCTGCTGCTGCTGCTGCTGCTGCTGCACCGCAGCAGCAAATTAATCCTATACATACACATAAAATTGTTGAAGTTAAACAACAACAGGTAATGCTACTCTTGCTGCTGCTGCTGCTGCTGCTGCTGCTGCTGTTGCTGCTGCTGCTGCTGCTGCTGCTGTTGCTGTCTCTACCTAGACTAATAAAGTTAAACAACAACAGACATACAGTCTCCTCTTCGTCCTTTTCCTTTTGCTGCTGTTGCTGCTATTGCTGCTGCTGCTGCTGCTGCTGCTGCTGCTGCTGCTGCTGCTGCTGCTGCTGCTGCTGCTGCAGATAATAGAGAGGAAGGTAAAAGTACCTAATCCTGTATTTATTCATCGTCCCTTTTTTATTAATGAGGAAAGAAAGACAATCTATAAACAAATCATTAAACCTATACATAGGTATATAAATAAATAAATAAATAAATAAATAAATAAATAAATAAATAAATAAATAATTTAATAATAATAAATATATAATGTATAATATATATAATGTGTATATATAAATATAAAATATATATTTATATTAAGACACACAACAGAAGAAAGGAGATTAACATCTTGCTGCTGCTGTTGCTGCTGCTGTTGCTGTTGCTGCTGCTGCTGCTGCTGCTGCTGCTGCTTCTGCTTCTGCTGCTGCTGCAGATACGTGAAGATACCTCAGCCACAAGATGTCTATGAGGAGGTGGAGAAGCCGGTCTTCGTCACCAAGTAAGCTACAGCAGCAGCAGGAGTAGCAGCAGCAGCAGCAGCAGCAACAGCAACAGCAGCAGCAGCAGCAGCAGCAGGAGGTGTATATATTTGCTGCTTGTGTGTCTGTAGGTATGTTAAGAGAGAAGTGCCAATCTATAAAGAAAAAATTGTAGATGAAATTGAACCTGTAGAGGTAACCTGCTGCTGCTGCTGCTGCTGCTGCTGCTGTTGCTGCTGCCGCTGCTGCTGCTGTAGATTGTCTATCTATATACGAGCAGCAATTAGCTCCTCTTGCGTGTATCCATTATGCATATTGCTGCTTCTGCTGCTGCTGTTGCTGCTCCTCCTCCCTCCCTACTACTCCTACACCTATACCTACAACTATTCCTGCTGCTGCTGCTGCTGCTGTTGCTGCTGCTGCTGCTGCTGCTGCTGCAGGTAGTGCGTGAGGTGCCCGTCCCTCGTCCTATATGTATAGAGAGACAAATAGGTGTCCCTTGTATAGTAAGAAAAGGGACACCATTAATAAAAACAAATAAAGGATTAATTAATATACAACAATTTATTAAGGATAATAATATTATACAAGTTAAGCATAATAAGCAGCAGCAGCAGCAGCAGCAGATAGAGCAGCAGCAACAGCAGCAGCAGCAGCAGCAGCAGCAGCAGTTTGAGCAGCAGCAGCAGCATTGGGGAGTTCAGCAAATGTCTTCGCCTCTGCAGCAAACACAAAATATAGATTTGCTGCAGCAGCAGCAGCAGCAGCAGGAATTTGAGCAACAGCAGCAGTTCCTGCAGCAGCAGCAGCAGTTGCTCCGGCAGCAGCAGTTGCAGCAGCAACTGCAGCAACAGCAGCAGCAACAGCAACAGCAACAGCAGCAGCAGCAACAGCAGCAGAGCTCAAGATGGGACTATGGAAGCAACTTCGTGCAGTCTCCTGCAACAGAAGCAGCAGATATGTCTGCTGCAGCAGCAGCAGCAGCAGCAACAGCAACAGCTGCTCCTCCTACGATGTGGACACAGCAGCAGCAGCACCAACTGAGGCAGCAGCAGCAGCAGCAACAGCAGCAAGTGCTGCAGCACGTCAGCAGCTACCCTGGCAGCATGTCACCTCGTAGCTTCGTAACTAGAGACCCATCACTAGATGCTGCTGCTGCTGCTGCTGCTGCTATATCTGCTGCTTCTTCTGCTGCTGCTTCTGTGTCTTGTCCTACTGCTGCTGCTACTGTTGCATCTACATGGGAGTTGCATGCGCCCTACGATCCCTCTGGTTGTCCCTTTGAGCTGCAGCTGCAGCAGCAGCAGCAAATAAAGCAGCAGCAGCAGCTAAAGCAGCAGCAGCAACTAAAACAGCAACTGCAGCAGCAGCAGCAGCAAATACACAAACATAATCCTTATCCAGTCAGTCCTCGGTAGCCAAAGCCGCTCCATTCATTGCTGCAGTTTTCATGTTGCTGCTGCAACTGCTGCTGCTGCTGCTGCACCTGCTGCTGCTGCTGCTTAAAATTCAAACACAGCAGCAACAGCAGCAACAACAAAAACAGCAGCAGCAGCAGCAAATGGGCAGCAAATAGGGTGTCAAATGCTGCGCTAAGAAGCGGGGAATGCTTAACCTAAGAATCTGTTTCGTGCAGCAGCAGCAGCTGCTGCTGCAGCATTAGCAGCAGTAGCAGCAAGTGCTGCTGCTGCTGCTGCTGCTGCTGCTGCAGCTCCCCTAAATGCCGCTGCCTTAAAATGTCTCACTGGCATTTCTTGTTGCAGCAGCAGCAGCAAGAACATTCTGTGCTGCTGCTCTGTTGCTGCAGCTGCAGCAGCAGCTGGTGTTGCAGCTGCTGCTGCTGCTGCAGCTGTTGCTGCTGCAGCGGCAGCAGCACGATGTTTTAGAATTTTTAAAAGTCCGAATGTCTGATGTGTCTCCACAGAGGACATTTGCTGCTGCATTTGCTGCTGCTGCTGCTGCTGCTGCGGCAGCAGCAGCAGCAGCAGCAGCAGCAGCTACTATTTGAATCTCTTTATTAGAGTTTCTCTTGGCTTGTAGACTTTTAAATAATATGCAGCAGAAGCAGCAGCAGCAGCAGCACCTGCTGCTGCTGCTGCTGCATGCATGCATGCATGCAGCAGCAGGTAGAGAGAAGGATATATTAAGAGAGAGAATTAAGACAAAGAAAAAGAGACAAAAAAAGAGACAAAAAAAGAGACAGAAAAAGAGACAAAAAGGAGACAAAAAGGAGACACAAAGAAAAGAAAGAATATAAATAAAAAGGAGACACACAATAAAAAGGAGACACTAATAAAAAGGAGACACACAATAAAAAGGAGACAGTAAGAAAGGGGACAGTAAAAAGGAGACAAAAAAGGAGGAGAGAATAAAAAAGGAGAAAAAAGGAGGAAAAAAGAAGAAAAAAAGAAGAAAAAAAGAAGAAAAAAAAGGAGACAGTAAATGTTATCCAAGTCTGAGTACATCAGGTGTCTCTGTATCATTATGACGACGACGATCTATACTGTCTCCTCCTTGACGGCTATTCCTGCAGCAGCAGCAGCAGCAGCAGCAGCAGCAGCAACAACAACAACAACAACAGCAACAGCAGCAGCAGTAATAAGGAAAT